CAATTGTGTACATGGATGCTCATGATGTTGATCATTGAATTGTCCTATCCAGACGCGATTATTAACAGACCGCTGCCATACAGCTGTGATATTGGTGACTGCGGCATTAAACAACAGAGAACGAAACAAAAACATTTTGAAAATATATTTAAAATATTTCCTTGTTGTTTATAGTGTTCTTCAACTTCATTTGATCAGTATATGAGCATACATTGTCCTATGAGGGATAGTGGTGTTCACAATGGTTAATAAATTTTGTATCTTTTCTGTCATACATGTTTAAGCGGAGGTGAAAGCAGCATCTAAATAACAAATTCATATCATCAAGGCTGACAGCTTGAAGTAGGTAGTTGACGAAAAATGTAAAGAATCGGCTTCACACCAGGATGTTTAGACGGGTATCGTATATTAATTATGTTTTAGCACATGTAATTTGGGGATCATTGTTACAAACTCAGGAACCCTTTCAAGGCAACTGAAGGCTATTTCCTGCATCAGAGACGTCCCAACCTCTTTGATTGTAAGCAGTTAACACATGTCACTGACTGAAAATTGTCTTTCTTTTGTCAATATGATATTTGATATTAATGTTGCTGTGTATTTATGTTTTCAGAGCTTAAGTAAACACAAGTGGTGTGTCTTGGTATTTGACATATTTTCTCAAATCTAAATATCTGTCACATGAACGGAGTAGTGTTACAAGTTCTCATTGTTTGTGTGACAAGCATCAGGTTTTGAGAAAGACCCTTAAACCTCCTACTCACTGGTAAATATATCCACATACTCTAAACCTGTGAAATTAATTTGCTAAAAATTTAATGCTTATATGAAAGTTAAACCTCGTCTGGCTTTCTCTGTGGAGTGATACATTCTTGTTTGCAAATATGATGGTTTTATGAAAAATGTTATAATCCAAACAATTGATGCAACGAGAATATGTTTATGACCAGATTTTACTGCTCATAACAGTTTATTATGTTTTGCAAATATATCCTTCTGCCCCCAGATTTTAATTCCATACTTTGTTTTTGAAAGAGGCTGACAGTCCTGACTCGGTGCAGGGCTTGGTGTTGTACACATGGGGCCGTGGAGGACGACACTCAGAAGTGTTCTGATTAGTTCACTCATGTACTGTGGGTGATAAGATCTGTGCGTAACATTAGATAACCTTGCTGGAATCTCTACATTTTAGGGGCGGTGGGGTAGCCTAATGGGTAAAGTGTTCGCTAGTCATGCCGAAGACCCGGGTTCAATTCCCCTCGTTGGGTACAATGTGTGAAGCCCATATCTGCTGTCCCACGTAACATTAGATAACCTTGCTGGAATCTCTACATTTTAGGAGCGATGGGGTAGCCTAATGGTTAAAGCATTCGCTAGTCATGCTGAAGACCCGGGTTCAATTCCCCTCGTGGGTACAATGTGTGAAGCCCATTTCTGGTGTCCCCCCGCCTTGATATTGCTGGAATATTTCTTAAAGCGGTGTAAAACCATATACTCACTCTCTCACTCTACATTTTAGCTCCGAGCAGATTAATATCTGGTCTCAAAATGAAAATACTTTAAAGAAAAACCATTGTTGAATTATCTTAATAAGATATGATCAACATGGTGAACCACAGTCATTTTTTTGTAGCTGCTGTAATCTAGACTTGCCAGATAGTATTGGGCTGTATTGGATATATTTGTTTGGGGATTTACATGACAGACTAGTATAATAGTAACAAAGCAATCTGTTAGTTTCTCTTAATTCTGAGCAGACAAGAGTAGGATAGTGCTCAGCCCTCTGATACGTATTGTCAGGTGTGACAAGTTGACATGGGCGGGAGTCGGTGGGGTAGCTTAGTGGTTAAGGCGTTGGCTCATCATGTCGAAGACCCGGGTTCGATTCCCCACATGGGCACATCGTGTAAAGCCCGTTTCTGCTGTCCCCCTGCTGTGACATTGCTGGAATATTGCTAAAAGTGGCGCAAAACTATACTCACTCGCTGACATGGGCGGTAAAGTATATGAATGCTAGGTGATGGTTGGTCTGAGATTGATTGCATGTCATCCAACACCTTGGCATGTTGCTCATATTATCAACCACCGGTCTGCCTTTATTTTCTGTCTGAGTCGTATGATCATATCGTCACGTATACAGGTTTTAGTAGTTGATAATGTTCTAATGCAGTGATGTGTTTGAGGGCCATAGCTGTCAAGTGATGATAGGCTCACCTTTGATTCAACAAGTCCATAACTGGTGTCCGAGTGGTATGATCTTGCATATTGTCACACATACTGGTTGTATGTATTTTAGTGGTTGATGACATTCTGGTGCAGAGTTTCGTCCCTTAACTTTCAACTGATGTAAAACATGTTTGATTCAACAAGCAAAAATCCATAACTGGTGTCCTTTACCTTGATATTGTTAGAATTTTGCTAGAGTGGTCTAAAACCAAACTCACTAACACACTAGGAAACAATTTGATGTTTCTGCATAATGTGATTGCTGAAGTTATATTGACTTTCAAATTTGAGGGGGGTAGTTGGGCAGCCAAGTGGTTAAAGTGTTTGCTAGTCAAGTTAAAAACCTGGGTTCGATTCCCCACATTGGCACATCCCCTGCCGTGATGTTGATGGAATATTTCTAAAAGCGGCGCAAAAAAAAAAACTCACTCACTCACATCAGATTTAAGGCCATCTTTGTAAAAATCCCACCTATCTACTTGCTCGTGAGGTCTTTGGTGTCCGTGCTACCTGTAACACAAGTATCTGTTTGTTTGATGGTATCAGTGCACAACATGCTGCACATTGTACATACCAGTTTTTGGTGGTAACTGAAATTTAACAAAAATCGGTTTGTGTGTACCAATGCTCTTATCTAATCTCAGTGTTATTTCTGACCTTTTGAGAGTGATGGAAAAAAAATCCTTTGTTGTGTTGGACCTGAATTTATAGAGCTGTCATGGCTTGTTACTCACACTGAATGTTATACAATCTGCCATTTGTCAAATGATGAAATGTTGTGTGTTTGTGACAATCATGATGGCACGACTGTTGTATAGTCAAACCTTGCTTTTGTGGACACTTGTGTTCTGTCAAATATATTTCGGATGGAAGAATTTTGGGATATTCAAATCACTTTCACCAATTTCTGACCAATGACTGAATGTTTGTGTGATTAGTCATTTGCAGCTATAGTTAAAATTACAGATGTGGACACAGCACGATAGCTAGACTAAGGCTTAGTCTCTGAATATATATAATTTTGATAGTAACAAACAAGCCCATTTATATTGAAAAGGAGCCCTAGGGAGACCAGAGCCTGAACCTGAGGAAATCTAGACTTGCTTTATTTAGGGCTTTAGCACTGCAGAGAGGGCTTGGCAGTGGGGAAATTAATGTGGTTCAGGGACTGTGAGACAGACTACACAATAGCCAGTAGTAGTGGTTGAAGCATTTGCTCATCACGCCAAAGGCCCGGTTGATTCCCCACTGTGTGAAGCCCATTTCTGGTGTCTTCCACCGTGATAATGCTGGAATATTGCTGAAAGCTCACTCACTCACTGTCAAAGTTGATAACAGACACAAGTCCAGATGTATCATGGATGTTATGTATGACAGAATTGAAATTTTCAATTTGCATGATCCCCTCCTTTCTGATGTTTGCCATGCTATCTGATGAATTGCAAAACAAAGATCTTCTGGCATTGTTGTTGTTGTCCGATAAGTGGGACACAAAACCGGGTATTTTCCACTGTTGGTAACTAAAATTCCATTTTGGATGTTGAAACAGTTTTTCCAGCTTGATGAAGCATTTCATGTGCTCGATGTTTTGAATTTTGTATGAATTTTTCCAATTGCAAGGGGTGGTGAGGTAGCCCAGTGCTTACAGCATTTATTCGTCACGCCAAAGACCCAGGTTTGATTCCCCACATGGGTACAATGTGTGAAGCCCATTTTTGGTGTCCCCCGCCGTAATATTCCTGGAATATTGCTATAAGCGGCGTATAACTAAACTCACTCCATGTGCAAGGTTTTCTGGATATCGAGGGTCCAGATAAGCATGGTCCACTATATATTACAGTGTTGGCAGTTGCAGTCAGCATTATCAGGCTATTAAGTTTCGATTTAACTATTGAAATACTTTTGCTAAAACCCTTTTCAACTAGTCAGTAATATCCTAGTTCACCAGAAGTACATGACATCATTCGAAAGAAAGGTTTTGTGCAAGATGAAATCTCTTATTGTTTGTTTTTTTCTTCTTTAATGAAGAATTGAAACAAATGGATATTTTTGTTTATCTTTTCAAACACCATGTTTCTTCGTCAAACAGAGTAGATATTTTCCTGCGGATATGAATCTTTCAATCAAGAAGATAAGACAGCCTATTTAGCTTTACATTGACAAGGAAGTTAGATATGAAGCTTAGTAGTGATGAATGACACTTCTCAGGAACCGTTTCCAGGTCCAAGGGAGATAAGTCTGTTTCCACTTGTATCGTTACTGTTTGTTGAAGATCCTGCCCGTTATGTCATGAAGTCAAATGCCTCTTTAGAAAATGGTTGTTTTGACCCTAATTGATAGCGCATGTTGTTTTTGTTTTAGGTTATCTGGGTCAAATTGGTTTTGTCAACAGAAATTAATCATTGTCAGATAAGCGAGTTGCTTGAGCATTTTTATTCTGTTAGGTTAAAGAAAGCAGATGCTGCTCCTCTGGAAAAACAAGTTTATTTTATTCAAGGAATTCAACAACACAAATAATAGCATGTATTATATCACATTTGGTCTGGGGGAAAATGGACACATGGAGGAACTGGAATAGGTAGCTAAGCAGCGTGTGCTGTTTGGTAAGAGATGAAAAAATTTGTTTGGTGGTCAGATTTGGCAAGTCTGCTTTTGCCACACATCCAAAATTTTGCTTCTTTTTGCTGACATAGACTTGCCCAGATTCCCCACAGATATACATAATCTTTTTCTTTCACATTCTCTCGCTCACATTGTTTTCACATTTGTTTCAGATTGTGCTCATCGCTGTGACTCAAGCACGTGCTTGTCTTCAGCCAATTTGTGTGACGGAAAAACAGATTGCATCGACAAATCAGATGAGAGTGATAGATGCCCTTCTCCAAGTACGTACATCACAATATATGTTTTGTTAAGAACATAATAGTTGTGAACAATTACAGGCTGTTTTGTTATATCATAGTTGCGAACAATTACAGACTGTTTTGTTGTATCATAGTTGCGAACAATTACAGACTGTTTTGTTATATCATAGTTGCAAACAATTACAGACTGTTTTGTTGTACAGACTTTTTGTTATATCATAGTTAATCATAGTTGCAAACAATTACAGACTGTTTTGTTATATCATAGTTGCAAACAATTACAGACTGTTTTGTTATATCATAGTTGCGAACAATTACAGACTGTTTTGTTATATCATAGTTGCGAACAATTACAGACTGTTTTGTTATATCATAGTTGCGAACAATTACAGACTGTTTTGTTATATCATAGTTGCAAACAATTACAGACTGTTTTGTTATATCATAGTTGCGAACAATTACAGACTGTTTTGTTGTATCATAGTTGCGAACAATTACAGACTGTTTTGTTATATCATAGTTGCGAACAATTACAGACTGTTTTGTTGTATCATAGTTGCGAACAATTACAGACTGTTTTGTTATATCATAGTTGCGAACAATTACAGACTGTTTTATCATAGTTGCGAACAATTACAGACTGTTTTGTTGTATCATAGTTATGAACAATTACAGGCTGTTTTGTTATATCATAGTTGCGAACAATTACAGACTGTTTTGTTATATCATAGTTGCAAACAATTACAGACTGTTTTGTTGTATCATAGTTGCAAACAATTACAGACTGTTTTGTTATATCATAGTTGCAAACAATTACAGACTGTTTTGTTGTATCATAGTTGCAAACAATTACAGACTATTTTGTTGTATCATAGTTGCGAACAATTACTCACTGCCTCACTCACTCACTCTCACTGTCTCAGTGACTGTCATTCACTCTCTCATTGTGTCTCACTGACTCGATCACTCACTCACTGTCAGTCACTCGTTGTTTCACTCACTGCCTCACTCACTCACTGTTTCAGTGACTGTTACTCACTCTCACTCTGTCACTCACTGCTATCTGTCAGGTGACAGTCATTCCATGATATCATCTTACATCCCAGACAGTATTACTTATTCAGAACCATGGAGGAATGGTTTCAATGTCTCTAATCAATAATCGTCATACAATTATGACTGCATAGCTGATCAAAAGAATCAGCACATGGATTACTCATTTGGCTCTACCAATACGGGAAATATAGTCCACGCCCATGGTGGATATTCATTAACAAGAATCATGTAATGATTTATGCAAAACAAGCAGAGTTAAAGAGGTGTCAGGGATTCTGTGTATTGCGCATCAGTCACAAGCTGGGTCAGCATGACCCATAACAATATGCTCAGATTGGTTTGTGGAATGTGTGAAGGTGAACTACACAAAATTTCATTTAGAAGTGGTCAAATGTAACATATGTTATGTTTGGGATTTACTAGGGTCCATGCAGGTATCAAGGCACTGTAAGTCCCCATGGTCCTTAGTAAGGTGATCTACCTTCAGTTGTTGGCGATCTATAGCCCGAGTTTTATATTGTATTGTCTTCTTGGATTTAAATGTTTTAGTTTTACATGCTAGTTTTAAATTAAGAGCTGAGATACTCTAGTATTTTTACTGTCCTTCGATGGCAGGTTTCTACATTCTAGATTTTTTTATTTTAAAATTGACATAAATGAAATTGTTCTTGTCGTGATATGGCTGAAATAGTGCTGATGTGACGCTAAATTTTAACTCACTCACTCACTATGTTTGGGATTACACTTTCTTTGTAAAGTACAGATTCTAGTACTTTTGTTGGGTTGAGTCCCATCCGGGATTCGAACCCACACCCTCAGAGTCAGGCACCTAATCGCCAGCACACAAAGTCAGACGCCTAACCCGCTCAGCAAACGCAGCTTCCACAAAAATGGAAGTCGGACAACTGGTAGTCCTGGACCGAATGGACTCAACCCAACAAAAGTACTAGAATCTGTACTTTACAAAGACAGTGTAATCCCAAATATAACATGTGTTACATGTGTGAAGATGATAGAAATGAAATTTGGTGTGAGTGAACACCCACTTCTAAGAATGATTCCGCAATATCATTGAATGATACAGAAAGGGTTTAGACTTTCCACTCATGTGGGAATTGAACCCAGACATTAGGTGTGATGATTTAAGGCTTGAACCACTAGGCTGCCCCACTGCCCTTGGTATGAATGAAAAATGTGTTCCTGTTCTAAGTATTCATTATCCGTGATCATCTGGTTACCCTGACAACATAAATTGATATGTGTGTAGTAAACAGAGAAGGGTAACATCATGGTGTTTGTCTGTTGTGAAGATCCGGATTTGAATTGGTCTTCAGTAACCCATGCTTGTCGTAAGAGGCGGCGAACATGATCGGGTGGTCAGGCTTGCTGACTTGGTTGACACATGTCATCGGATCACAATTGCGTAGATCGATGCTCATGCTGTTGCTCACTGGATTGTCTGGTCAAGACTTGATTGTATACAGATCGCCGCCATATAGCTGGAATATTGCTGAGTGCATCGTTTAACAATAAACAAACAAATGTATCGTGATCGATATCTTGAGGATTTGTGGGAATTTTGTGAAGTTTCTTGTGTCATTTCAATGTGTCACCTGACTGAGGGTAAGACCCAGGAACTGGCTTCATTGCCTGGTCAAGATTACGGTGTTTGTAGTGTGGTACAGTTGGAATATTGCAGACTATCATAAGACAACGGGGGCGGTGGGGTAGCCTAGTGGTTAAAGCGTTGGCTCGTCACGCCGAAGACCCGGGTTCGAATCCCCACATGGGTACAATGTGTGAAGCCCATTTTGGTGTCCCCCGCTGTGATGTTGCTAGAATATTGCTAAAAGCGGCGTAAAACCAAACTCAGTCAGTCAGTCATAAGACAACAGTCAGTTCACTGCAGTGTAAGAGACAACATTTGATAAACATGATGTGACTCGTCAGCATGTTAACAAACTGTATGTTTATCAATTAATATTTCCTTTGAAATTATTGTCCCAAAATATTTAATCAAGATATTCAAACCAAGATATTCAAACATGCTCTTCCTGAATTTGTAATTGTAACATACAATACACAAAGAGGGTGTGATATGGATAAGAGGATTAAACACCAGAATTAGGGGCGGTGGGGTAGCTTAAAGGTGAAAGTGTCCGCTCGTCATGCTGACGACCCAGGTTCGATACCCCACATAGGTCCAATGTGTGAAGGCCATTTCTGGTGTCCCCCAGCCGTGATATTGCTGGAATATTGCTAAAAGAGGCGTAAAACCAAACTCACTCACTTACCATAATTTTGTGGAACATATAGGTTATAAATATTAAAATACCGAAATGAACCGAAGTTAAGTGCCTAAGCTGTTATCAGAAAACTATGAATCATAGATAAAAAAAAGTTATTCAGAATGTTTGATCAATAAAGACACATTTAGATAAAACAAACAAAAGCAAGACAACAACAACATAAGATAGCATGAAATACATATTTAAAAAATGAATTGTGTCAGACAATTGTACATAACATTAGAATGAATGGTTTTCTTTGCAGTTGAAACCACTATTACATACTATGGCTGCCTCAACAATATGTAAAATGTGTAACAGTAATGTCCCAGAGGATGAATTACATTTTCTTTTTGTCTGTGATGCATATGTAAGGTTATGTAGTATATATTTACCAAATTTTGATCAATGTCCAACTATCATTAAGTTTAAAAAATTAATGCTATGTAATAATACCAGTATTCTTCTTAAAACTCTGCAGTTTCTTAAGCATGCCCTCGTGATCAGATCGAATGTGTGTAAATAATGTGTAACCTTGTATATTGCCTTGTCTAAAATGATATTTTGTATCCTATGATTGTACATGGGCCGATGGCCTACTTACAGAAATAAATTCATTCATGCTATGGCTGCACAGTCACCATTGAATTGACAAACATTATGAAGTAAATAAATTTACCGTGATTAGATTCACAGACCACACCACACCTTACATCTTCCAAGTATATCAGAACATATTCTCTAAATGTCTCATCAATATTAAAGGAAAAACCCAAAACTCTGCCTCTTGTGTGCACAACCTGTCCACCAGAGCCATCCCCACCCACTCCCCTCATACACCCCTAAGAACAGACTCCCAGATACATCCTCTGACAACCACCCATAAAACCACAACCACACCCCAACCCCAACAGCAACCATCTCCAAAATCCTCAACCGCCGTAACCACAACCCCCAACAACCACCACAACCCCCAACCCCCAACAACCACCACAACCCTGTCCTCCACCTCCATCCCCACTCCAAACCACCACCCTCCACCACCCTCAAACAACCATCTCCCAACTATTATACCAACCACCACATCCTCAACACCCACCCCAATGCAAACAGAAGACGCTTTGTAATATGTAAAAAAGGGGTATGTTGCGAATTGATATTTAATTCAAAACAGCAAGCCACCTGTCGATGACGACAGGGCTGTAAGGTCGCAATGACCTGGCAACTCGCCAGGCAGTAAGACCTATGGTACAGCCTCAGACAGGGTTTTCAGCCCGAGTCAGCTGAGGGCTGTGTATTGCATGTCATTTACTTGTGTATCGTGCATACTTTCAACTGTCGTGGCCGTGTTATCACTTCGTGTGGTAACAGATTCACGGGAGGAGAGCCTGGAGCCACATCCGCGGTGGGGATGTATGGACCAGGATGTGAGTACAGATCATCAGGGAGTGCGAGGACGGCACACCATTGATTGCTAGCTGCGCAAATTTTCTCATACATTAAGAGGAGCTAGTGGTGATATTTTTTTCCTAATCAGAAATATTTTGAAGTTTTTATCTAAGTTGAATTTAACATTTGAAAATATTGAAAAAAAAACATTCATGTTAATATATGGATCTGTTTGAAATTAATGTCTGTATGAAGGGTTTCATATCTTAGTGTGAATGTTATGATTCAAATACTACGGAATGTAGCAAAGGACCCTAACACAACTTCAGTTAATTATTCATATATACATTATTAATGGAAAGACATTTGTTTTCTTGGAGTTATTTATCCTTTTCAGAAGCTTGCTACATATTTAGCAATCGTGTTAAATTGATTTTCTCCTTAAAATCACTAAATGCTTAGAATAATTAACAAAAAGTAATTGTTGAATATGAAAGGCGTGGTAGACCTTATTATGTGCAAATATGTGTGTTTGTGTGTTTGACTTACTTGTACTTCTAAGTGTCCTCATAATTTATATGACATCTTTTTGTTTCCAAAAAGGGTATATAATTTAAAAGTAGTTATTATTTTGAAATTTGGTCTGTGAAGCTTTTCAGAAGTTTGACCTGTCAAACTTTCTTTTCTTGTCTGTGAGTAGAATACAATGACATAATTATAGAGTTACAAGATTATGCATCTGCTGTGCCTTTATCATGTTTATGACATAGAATGCATGGGTTGATACGAGGTATTCTGCATGGTCTGGTGATTGTTTAGACCTGGCTATGAGCTGTGTGTCAGATGTTGTAGCTGTGTAGTAATACAAGGTATAGGATTACTCTTCATCGCCCTCTGCTTATCATCTGCTTGAGACAACGACAGGCATTTTGAATAATAATCATTTCAATTATGATTATGTGACTAGAGCTTATTCTACAATGCATTTGGAAATTTCCCATTCCTGATTGGATAATCAGAGGTACCGAATGAGAATTACTACCTCTGATGAGGGTGGTGGGTTAGCCTAGTGGTTATAGTGTTCGCTTGTCACACTGAAGACCGGGGTTTGATTCCCCACATGGGTACAACATTTCTGGTGTCCCCTGCCATGATATTGGTGGAATACTGCTAAAAGCGGCATAAAACTAAACTCACTCACTACTACCGCTGATGTAAGGCTATGTCACTGAGGGTTGAACATTGAGCAAAGTTCTGGTTCTGCTACAGTATTGGAAGTGTGTGTGGCAATAGATGATGGATGGAAAACACAATATAAAATCGACAGAGTGCATTTCAAGTTTGTGTGACAAAAGTGAGCTTACGGTGTAGAACTAAGCCCAGCAGGCTTTGCTCATGTTTCTTTCGGGGTGTGCTCTTCATGCCGGCTTACAGAGTATCAGCATTACACACTCTCAGTGTTGTTCATATATGCGAGTAAATAATAATGATGTAAGCAGACAAACACAGTTTGAGCATAGGCAGTGCCATACTTTGTTTGAAGGCTATTATCTTTGTTTCCGTTATCCACATCCACAGCTTGCCCCAAACAGTCCATGTTGCTCTACTCATATCCTTGCTAACACCAAACAGTGTTTTATCTAGTCATGTAAACTGTAGATTCATGACAGCAAAATCATGATATTTCATAACCAGCTGATGTTGCATCACGTGACCAGAAAATGGCGATTCTTCTCCAGATTATCATCAACCATATACATGTCTACTCATGTGACTATGTGAAGAACATTTCTGGTGTCCCCTGCCGTGATGTTGCTGGAATTTTGCTAAAAGCAGCGTAAAACCAAACTCGCTCACTCACTCACTGTTTCTAGACTATAGGCATGTATGGTTTATATGTTTTCTGTTCACTGGGGCCGTGGGGTAGCCTTGTGATTAAAGCATTTGCTCCTCGCCACACTGGACGGGTACAATGTGAGAAGCCCATTTCAGGTGTTATTGCTGACATATTGCTAAAAGCGATGTAAAACAGAACTCTCTCATTCTTTTCACAATGTGAAATGAGTGTATATTGCTATATGTATGTTGTCAGCATCATCAGCTGTTTTCCTATCATCCTATCATCATTCTTTTCTCTCTTCCAGAGAGTGATAGCATCACCTACATCTTGATATTCGGCTTTGTAATCCTGATCACATTGCTCGGCGTTGTGGTGTGTTTGGTGCGACACAACAACTGTAGAATCATGTCGCGAGTGAGACGCCACGACACAAGGGAAGGACAGCTTCGGCCTCCGTCACAAAACTCAGATGTAAGTTGAACCTTGTATATTTCTGTTACAGCCTTCTTGTACGTGGCTTAAGTTGAAAAATCACAAAAATAGTCCTTTTCAAGGACAACTGATTTCTGAAGTCAGCCCAGTGCTGACTGATGATGAATCTGTTACTTGTGCCTCACATGCGGGTTTCTGTTAGAATAAGACCCATGAAGATCCAGGTTAGAATTGATCTTCAATAACCCATGCTTTTCATAAGAAACTAACGGGATCCGGTGGTCACTTTCGCTGACTTGTTTGACACATGTCAATTGCTCATGATGTTGAACACTGGATTGTCTGGTCCAGACTCGATTATTAACAGACCGCTGCCATATAGCTGGAATATTGCTGAGTGTGGCGTAAAACTAAACTTGATCACTCACTCACTCACTGTTAGAATGGGTCCTCACCAGCACGTTTGACTCTCCGACTTGCGGCTTGTCATTGTTTCCCAGTTGCATGGATCTCATACCATGACACAATTGAATGAAATACTTCATAACTCAGGCGTAAAACTAAACTCATTCGCCCTATTTAAGTTACATTTATGTGTAGTTACTATAGTTATGTGGGGGCGGTGGGGTAGCCTAGTGGTTAAAGCGTTGGCTCGTCACGCCGAAGACCCGGGTTCGAATCCCCACTTGGGTACAATGTGTGAAGCCCATTTCTGGTGTCCCCAGCCGTGATGTTGCTGGAATATTGCTAAAAGCGGCGTAAAACCAAACTCAGTCAGTCAGTATAGTTATGTGTAGTTACTATAGTTATGTGTAGTTACTATAGTTATGTGTAGTTACTATAGTTACGTGTAGTTACTGTAGTTACTATAGTGTAGTTACTATAGTTATGTGTAGTTACTATAGTTATGTGTAGTTACTACAGTTATGTGTAGTTACTATAGTTATGTGTAGTTACTATAGTTATGTGTAGTTACTATAGTTATGTGTGTAGTAGTTACTTATGTGTAGTTACTATAGTTATGTGTAGTTACTTATGTGTATAGTTATGTGTAGTTACTACAGTTATGTGTAGTTACTACAGTTATGTGTAGTTACTATAGTTAGTTTACTATAGTTATTACTATGTTACTATAGTTATGTTACTATAGTTATGTGTAGTTACTATAGTTATGTGTAGTTACTATAGTTATGTGTAGTTACTACAGTTATGTGTAGTTACTATAGTTATGTGTAGTTACTACAGTTATGTGTAGTTACTACAGTTATGTGTAGTTACTATAGTTATGTGTAGTTACTATAGTTATGTGTAGTTACTATAGTTAATACTTTACTACAGCTTTTCCTTCATGCCACCAGAGATTCAGAATTGGGTGTTCTTTAACCTTCTTTTGTATAAGTGGAATAGGGCGGTGGGGTAGCCTAGTGGTTAAAGCATTCGCTTGTCACGCTGAAGACATGGGTTTGATTCCCCACATGGGTACAATGTGTGAAGCCCATTTCTGTTGTCCCTCGCCATGATATTGCTGGAATATTGCTAAAAGTGGCGTAAAACCAAACTCCGTCAGTTAACTGAAGCATTGCAATATGCTATGCTTATTATACTTCTTGAATCTGGCTCCAGTTCGCCCCCTTGATGGGCCTACATTAGTCAGCACCATCCCTCTTTTCGCTGGTTCACGAGATAATGGTAAACATTTGAGACCTGCACCTCTTTATCATTCCTCACCAAGTGGTTAAAGCATCCACTTGTCACACCAAAGACCCGGGTTCAATTCCCACATGGGTACAATGTGTGAAGCCCATTTCTGGTGTACCCTGCTGTGATATTGCTGGAATATTGCCAAAGCGGCATATAACTTTGCTCACTCACTCACTCACTCATGAAAATGACACTATGTGATATAACTGGAATACTGTTCAAAACGTTGTTAAACCCATCACTGAATTGTTTACAGCCATTAAATGCCCGTTTCTGTTTCAGGTGTTGGTGTCGAGTCCAACACAGGAACACATGGAACAGCAAGTGTCTTTGTTACAGGATAGATATACACAGATAAAGTCAATGCAACGCGACAGTGACCTTGGATACCCGCCCCACGTTCCGCGCTCCAAAGATGGGGAGGAGGGGTATAGAGAAAGTCAAAAAGATATCTTAAATCATCGCCAGAATGCTGCGGCCAACTTAGAGTGTTTTCGGCCTCCGCCCAATAGGACTGTGCATGATACCGAGAGCCCACCACCTTACTCGGAGTCACCGAACAGGTCGTTTGACTCTTATACAAAGACACAACCTTCTGTTCAGGACTACAATGGTTGTCCTGTTGTGATACGTTGCTATAGTATGTCGGGCTCAGCCAATGGGGAAAGTCATCCGGATTTTTATTCAAATTCCCATTCTCGGACTTATTCCTCTTCCTCTGTGGGGCATGGTGTCAGAAGTGTGCTCTCAGACCGACCACCGGGGTATGAGAACTTTAGCTCGAACTCGGTGCCCACAGCGCCATCTGTAATGACGAGTGGGCACAGGCATTGCAATTCCGCCCCTGGAGGTGAAGGTCAGGGGTCAAGGTCAAGCTCGGCACGGAGCAGCCCCCCGGACTACCACAATGCTTTCAATGTGACTAGTGCTAATATGTATAGGCCGTCAACGGACAAAGCTAATGTATGATAAAACACTGATATATGGGCTAAACTGTGAAAGATGATCCTGTCGAGGCGGACAGACGGACAAACGGACATGTTAATATGAAGGTGAGGTGGCTCCCTCTGGTGACCGTTTTCAGAGTGTGTGAGGTCATGTGACCTAGGGTTGCAGCCAGGGAATACTGGTTTAACTTTGGTGCTAGTCACAACAACACAGGTTCCGCCGTGCCTATGTTGTCTGCTCCTTAAGTCCAACAACTTTGCATAGGAGGTTGTTAAAGCTCCATACATCCTTCCTGCCCTGCTGCGAGCCAGCTCCAGGAGATATTGTGATATATTACCCAGAGGAGTAACATGCACGATTTCATCTCAACAACTTTCTGAAGCTGATCACCAGTCAGTGGATAGACCTGTTTTCAGTGAATTATTTACAGAGGCTTAGTATTTATCGTTTGTAGGTTCTTTCATATTCGTCAACCTGGATCTTTTGTTACAGAAGCCTGAGACAAGATATCACCAATCAACTGTTCCATGAATAGGAGTCGAGCTAACAACTGACTATTGTTAGTGATGAGAAGTGCTTGAAACTGGCCAGAGAACATGGATTTATTTTGATATTTTATGAATGCTTCCTTCAGTTTGAGAACTACTCTGCCGTGAATTTCAGGATACCAAAGAGGGGAAGTTTTAGGTACCAAGTCTAATAGGCGTGCCATGATGAAATTATGATCATGACAGACACCGATGCAATAAGGAATATTTTCTGACTACCAGATACACAAATTAGTGTATAGTATCAACGTCAAAATTAATTGTTGGGTGTTTCACTTATTCAATGAAATGTTAATTTGAAATTATTTTTTATTTGTTGATTTGTTGAATGGGGTTTTGTTGAAGAATTTAGATATTTCTTATGAAGATGGTTTTAAGTTATGAGAAGGAATTGAAATAGGTGTTAGTCATGCTTGGCTGTAGACTTGCGGCATGCAGTCGATGTTACAAGAACGCTCCACCACAAGACGTTCTATACTGGTGTACTTGAACAATGTATGATTGACATTATGTTTTGAGTTGTAAGCACGTTGAACCAGTATTTCTCAAGTGTGTTCAACATTGGTTTGTGGCTAAGCCGATTGGGATCGTGACTGAGAATGAGATGAAACAACACAAATGATGGAAACACAAGGATGGACACATGAGAGAGCAGGGCATGCTGTGAGCATGCCTGGTGTGGCCCGACATGGAGAGACGTGTCGTGACATGACAATGGAACATGAAGCTACAACACTAGTTGAATGGATTCTGTGGCAGTGCTTTTGCTTACGACACTACAAAAATGATAAAAACATTTGATTGTGAAATCATACGGAAAACTTGTTGAATGGATGATTGTGATTGTGACACATGAAAGCGAATGAGGTGAATGAAATCGACTGTGACAGATGATTATGATTGTGAAGTGTGATAGCGATTTTGATGTGTGAAAGTGATTTTGATGTGTGAAAACGATAGCATGGTTATGGTGAGAAACCAATTGACACTATCAGTGTGAGGAACGACAGGATGACTCCATTTGTGATGCACACTGTCGGTTAATACATAATGTGCTTAAAAATATCAGAGTGGCTTTTATGCAAGTATTGAGAATTCTTGAATAGATATTTATGAAGTTTGTATGTTCAGAGTTGGAAATAATATAATTTTTTTATTATTTTCCATGTAACTCATTCCAATTTATATCATATCTTTAAAAGATATGTGTGCTTTCATTCAAATAAATAAAACGGAGATATATTACAGCATAGCTACAAAAAAAGAAATATCTGGTGTTTGAGAATTGCAATGTGAAGGAATTGACATGGACCTTACCAAAACACTTGGTAATTAATAAACATTTGGTAATTAATAATCATTTTGTAATTATTGAAAAGAAGCCGTAGTACAGACTTGAAAAAGTTATGTATAAAAGTTACTTTCCTTGAAGCCAAGAATATTGGTCAGATTGTATTAAGTATAACAACAAATACCTTGACAACTAAAACACCAGTGCTTAGTGTCCTAAATAAATCCTTATATTTTTGTAGCCATAATCAAAGTATGTTTTCACCTTACAATCTTTATGAGAAAACCCACCAAACGAACCAAAACCGAATTATGAGTTAAAATGAATGTCCCAGTGATGGAGCATAAACAAAAATAGTATCCTCAGGATGAGGCGGAATGGTTACTGCATGGATGATCCAGGAATCCAAGAGGGTGTAGTTTGTTCTGCAGAGTTGCTTCCCTTGACTGCATGGTGGATCTGATAATCATTGTCATGATACTTCGAGTTTGTCTCCCTTCTTCCATGTAACTGGCATCCTGCGATGGAATTGATAACACTGTTTGAAGTTTTGATCATCAACATGATAATTTTCTATTTTCTATTTTCTTTACTTATCTGGTAACTTTTCATCCCGGTATCACTGAAGTGCAGCAAAGGTTTCAAAATTTGAAGCTCCTCACAGTGCAGCCTGTGTACAATCACTGCCACCAATCACATCAGTAATAGGTGGTCTGTATACAGTGCAGTGTTTAGAGTTGACTCCTGCAGCAGATGTTTCAGTGCCAAATATTCCCCCTACTATTTAACAGGTTTATTTAATTTCATTTTCGCTATCATGTTACCAGTAATGTGCATTAATGGGAAGTTAGGTGTTGTTCCACAGCAATCTCGAACCACTCTTTTCATAAAGACCTACATAATTTCATCTGCGATAGTAATTTGTCAAGGGTTTTTAAATTCACGAAGATGACATTCCAACAAGCAAAAACAAAAAAAGAATGTTTGAAGGAAATATTTTGAGATTCTTGTAATGGATGGTTCGCACTGCAGTAGTATTAGGTGTGAAACAAAAATGTTCACTGCAGTAAAACTTGTTTAATGTTTTCGTATGAACTTTACTTTTAAGGCCTAATGGTTAGCAAAAGTCAACAGACTTATAAGATATCCTGCGTCAAAAGAAGATTAAGTAATATGACAATTTTCAAAAATAATCGACACCTTTAGATACTAAAGTGTATTCTTAACACTATAAATGTCAGGTTACTGTGTAACAGTACCTTGAAATGGTTCCAAGAGCTGATAATGTTTCTAGAGAAGTGGTACTAAAAGTTGCCGATAAAGTATTACTTACAAAGTATGAATGTATAGTGATAATATAGGGGAAGCCATTTGCGAGATTTTATGTATATTTTCCATTAATTCTACATACAGATTAATGACGACATGTTAATGCGAGATGTGTTCTGAGTGTAGGCGGAAAATACATCAGTCTGTTAGCATTTGTTATACAGAGTTGTGTCCCTTGACAGTGTCAGGATGTGGATAAATCAGAATATGGTCCATGACTTGTCCGAACTTCAGCAGGTTGATTTTCACAGAATAATGAATGTCTTGGACCAGCGTGACTTCAGTCTTTGCTCCGACGTGAAACTGTCACGTGATATACTGTTTATAATCGAGTCGGCCAAAGTTCTCAATATGGATGCCATTATCTTTGAAAGCCTGATCTACACATCTCTTTGAATGACACATACCACAGGCAAACTGCTATCGCAAACATCTGGCTACCCTAATAAGAGGATGTGGACCTATAAATAACATGCAAAACAAAGCTGTTTTTTATTTCTGTCAACAAGAATTTCGACTCCAGTTCAATGCAGCTCACCGTTTCATATTCTTATGAGGTCAGGTAGGAGGTGCATGGATTTATAAGAAAACATATTTGTCCCATAAACTATTTGAAAAAAACCCTTCTTTTTCTTCTGTATTAAAACAGATTGAAAGGAAGTGGTTTGTCCAAAATTCTGGAGCAGCTATGTCCTAAAGTACATCTTCTCTACTCCTACCTCCTTACAAAGATAAATGGTTGACCTGAAACTATTATGATTTATTTTTTATGTCTGTAGCAGTTTCCAAGACGATACGATTAATATTTTAGTTTGTTTTTGTAATTAATGTTTTGGAACAATATCCTGATGGAAGTCATCAATTTATTTAGAATGCATTATGAAAGTTCAGTTCGTGCTCTGTCTCAGGTAGCCAGAAAGTTCAATATTTGCGATCGCTGTTTCCCTAGGGTATGAGTCCAAGATGTATTTGAGGATGATTTGGAATGAATTATAAATGCAAACATTGCCTAAATTTCTTTTTTTCATTTTGTGTCAAGTCTTAAAAACTCATTGAATCATTAAGGCTGTTTTTAATATGGTGTACATGGACGGTATCCTTGAAACTGAATGTGGAAGAGTGAACGAGGACAGTGAGTTGTATGAGCGACAGTCTGGTTGCAAATGTTTTCCATTATTTCACAAGTCTCCATTGTTGATTAGACGAGCTGTGTGGGCTATATTTTGTGATACATTAGAGAAATGCAATACTTCATCATCTTCCAAAGCAACGATGGCTGGTGATGAATATGAATGACAAGTTGCCTATTAAGCCGCAGTTGTGGCAGATCAATAGCCGGCCTGCAAAGTTTGCATGTACGCTGCATAATGGCAGACAGCCAGTACAAACAGGTTTATAGGTGCTTTAAACCTGCACTGACTGGTCGTGTCTGTAACATCAAGATGAGTGCGTGGGTGTGTTGATGTGATCGGTTAACGTGGTGTTGATCAACAGTGAACTGTGCAACATCTGGTGTCAACATCACAATGGTGATGTACTGCTTCAATCTCCATCCTGAGCAGAAGACGGAATGTGTGTAAATGGTGGCAGGTGGAACTTGTCGACTGCTGCGATGCAAACGTACTGGAGAGGTGTGATAGGAGGGGAGACAACCCTTGTGATAAGACATGTTACATTCAGTGTTGGTGCCGCTTGTCTGTGCCCATGACGAAGCAGACACCGCAGACGGAGCAGCTTGTGGAAGCTCCCTAAGGCGAGAGTGGACAGGGGAGACAACCTGTGAACCATTGACGCTGTCTATCTTTTTGTGTGGTAGCTGATGTCATGTGACTAGCCTCGCTTCGCCAGTCCTACGTAATTGCGTCTTGGTTGGTCGGTCCGTCAATGCGCTTGATGTCGGCCTGCTGTCGGCCTGCTGTTTGAGTTGTATGCAGTTTTCTTCAGAGACCAAAGACTGAGCACCATACTTGTAACTTGTTCCGCATGTCGTCGTCTCTCAAGGCCTAGGTTCCTAGATTCATCACAAGTGTCTGACATTCACTCTCATTGATTGGGTGCCTGGTGACAACACTCCATCGTCGGAAGGATTATGGCTGTTTCCAAGTGATAAATGTTTCCATGGTGACTAGTTTGTTACATAGGCTGTTACCATGGTGACAGACTGTTGTCAAGTGTTTAACACTGTTGCCATGGTACTGCCAATTGTTACAAGAATTATATCCAGTTTCCATGGTAATGCAGTCTTGTTTCTAGGATACGTTAGACTGTTACCATGGTAATACATGTTAATGCTGTTTCCATATATGGACTAATGTGGCCGTGTATCGTAGGAGACTCGGTAAGCACTGGTAGTGTTGGAGCCCTAATTCACCTAATTCACTATATCGATGACGACAGTGGTCTAGCCTTTTGTTTGTTGTGAATATTTTGTTTATGTATTGTCTAGATCTCAGCCTTTGTTGGAAGAATACAAAATGGCATCTGTGTAATTTGGGAGCAGATGTAACCATCTCAAGTGCAGAACTTGAAGCTACCTTACCCTACTACATCTTCTGCTGACCTCTGACCTCCCATTTCTCTTGTCTGTCATTGGTCAGTCTCAGTAGGTCATCTGTGATAGAAGCCTCAAAGGCCTGACTTGTCTGAGCTGACTGACCTGTGCTCTCTCCCCCATTGTCATAATAACACTGACCCACTTTGCCCTGAAAATGTACTTGGGGAGTGACCAATTGATATCCCTGGGGGTGGGAGGGTCCAGGTTTTTGTATAGGGACTTTTTCAGCTACACCTGAAAAACCAGCCGTTTTTCTAATTAAAACTAAGAGCCTAAATATTTTTTATACAATATCTTGTATCAGTGTAAGTACAGTTTGAAGCATAATTGTTTTTTAAGCATTTTCTATGATTTTCGATAAAATCCCCAGTCTCCACATCCTCCCTTCCCCCAGGATATCAGATGGTCAGTCCTTTATAATCAAGTAGAACTCTCTTTTTTTTTTAATCTAGGTTATTTGTGGTTGAATCATGTAGTCTTCCTGTCATCTCCCCAAAGAAAGACATCGATCTTCCAACTCTAACAGTATATTTTTGACATTGGAGTATTATGGCACTCATGAAAAAAATACATATTAAAGAATTTTAGATAGGACCAAATGTGAGTCTGTTCACTTCATTGTACTAGCACTGATTCCATATTTCTCAGACTAAAGCGACTAAACGACGCTAGTTTCCTGGAAACAGTTGTAGGGTAAGTGCTAGATTTGTGGGTGATGATTTGTGAAAGGTCCAGGAAGATGTGGTAGGGTGGGTGTCCCATGTTGGGACGATTCATGCAACACTTAGCTTGCAACAAATGCATATTTTGAGATAGTCGATACATGTGTCAAAGTGGACATTGTTTAAGATAACACAGTACTCGCTTGTGTTGGCCTCGGCCACCCTTCCACCCTCACTTCTTTAAATGGTACATCCTCTGCTTTGATATGGACTGTACCATTATTGTCAGTGAGGGTGGAAGGCAAGTACAACAATGAGGCCATAAATAATTTTTGAAAAATTTATAGAGTTTTTAACATTTTAAATGTGGGCCAGGCCCCTTCCAGCTGCAAGCCTTTTCAATGCACATTTGTTATAATCGCTTCAAGGCCATAAAATGGCAGATTCATTTCCCATAGTTTGCATTACCCAGCTGTGTGACTTGTTAACATATTATCGTTACCCAAGTTTGCAAGATTTGGGCTAGTCAGGTCAAAGATGGCAGTGGGTGTTGGCAACATTGAAGTTCATGTCTGTCACTATAATTCACCTGTTTGAAAGACCCGATGACCTGACTGGCCCTCATCTTGTCTGAATGCTGCTTTAGCTTTTTTCCTCAGTGCTGACAACAGCAGGGTCAGCAGCTTGTCTGTGGGCAAAGTGTAGTGAGTGAGTGAGTTTAGTTTTACGCTGCACTGAGCAATATTCCAGCTATATGGCGGCAGTCTGTAAATAATCGAATCTGGACCAGACAATCCAGTGGTCATCGATCTGCGCAATTGGGAACCGATGACATGTGTCAACAAAGCCAGCGAGCCTGACCACCCGATCCCGTTAGACGCCTCTTACGACAAGCATGGGTTACGGAAGATCAATTCTAACCTGGATCTCCACGGGTTAGGGCAAAGTGTAACAAAGTCATGTACTGAGCTTCAATTGCCAGTTTGAAGATAGGCTGTAAAATATGACACCCATTATCCTAGTCCAAAGGTTTTCTTTTTCCGCTGCATGTAATAAATACGAGTTTAGCACCACTGTCAAGTTACTGTTCCATATTCAGACTGACACCTGTTGCTTACGTTCTAGAGCCAAGCTGTTGTCCTGCTGTGTTGTCCTCAGCCAGAAATCAGACATGCTGTGATCCATTGGACATATCCATATTGATTTTATCAGCACAGTTGTAAGATCATTTCATGGCTGATTATTGGCTTTGGGAACTGTCTGCCTGGACCTGTTTCATTTAAGCATTTGCTCGTAGATGAAATCACGTGTGATAGCTCCCCCTGGTGGCGACATGCCTGCCGGCCTGTCCACTCATTCAAGTTACAATATACTGGCTTCACCATGGAGAGGGACACTGTGACTTGGGAGAGAGTCTCCTTGAAGGTGCTGCTTGGGTTGAACAATCTGTCAATAATCCAACACTTAAATCTGAGGTGTGTTTTGAAGTAAAGCCATTTCAATTTGCATAAGCAGGACTAAATTCATTCCAATTGACTTGTGGCAGAAGGTAAAATTATTTGAAGTCACAGATGTTTCTCGTCATGGTGTTGTGAGCCATCCTCCAGCCTGCGCCCTGTGCGTCGTCCCTGCAGCTGCTGCTGCTATCCCATCACCCCCTCCTCCTCCTGCTGCTGCTGCTGCTGGTCATATGCGGGCACGCTGCGTTGCCGCGGCAATCTCTGCCTCCTATTTAATTGATGGAGAGAGTCTCCAAGCAATTTGTTCTCATTGTCAATGCTCCAAAATCTATGTTGTGAGCTGTTGACACTCAATAAAAATATTCCAAAAGTTACATGGCATTGTTTTTTATCAACTGACAACCACCAATGGATCACGTGACTGGAATATATGTGTTTGCATCATCACCTATGGGATAAATATTAGTCAATGAAAAATAGACCAATTGTTTAACTTGAGGATAGTAACCCTGCAAATAGACTTATTACAAGGTATATTGTCACAGACGTGATTCTTCCTTTCTGGCATGTATATTTAGGGGTGGTGGGGTAGCCTAGTGGTTAAAGCATCTGCACGTCATGCTGAAAGCCCGCGTTCGATTCACCTCATGGGTACAACATGTGAAGCCCATTTCTGGTGTCCCCTGCCGTGATATTGCTGGAATATTGCTAAAAGCGGCGTAAATCTAAACTAGCTCATCTATATTTTGGACTAGATTGTTAGATACTGCTCAATTTGTGATAGGACAAAACATACACAGATACATTTTAACATACACTTGAAACGAAAATCATATGTGAGTGTCCAGGAAAGACAAACAATTTTTTTTACAATATTCAAGTCAGAAGTGTTTGGATTTCAAAATATTGGATGAATTAGAGACATTGGAGGCAAAGTTTAAGTCATCCCAATACAGTCGTGTTCAACCAACAGCTCTGTTGATGATGTTCTGGGTTCTGGAGATAACGGCACTAAGATTATAGTAAGCCAATGTATGGGACTTGCAGTCATCTTCGTGCTAAGATTTTGTGGAATGATCGCCTTGTCAATCCCTAAGGAATTCAATACAAGGACGTGATGCCAGTCTCCTCAAGCGTCTGGGCTTAGGTCCCATTTCTCTAGTAACACAAACCCTTCTCATCTATAATACTGAACATCTGTAAAATACAACATTGATGTTTTGTCAAAGGTGTGGGCACAAGCCATCAGAGTCTAGGTTTGAAGTCATCCACTAAATCCTACTTAATCAGGATCATGTTGATGTCTGGGGCTGTGGGCTAGCCTAGTGGTTCAAGCATTGGCTTGTCAAGCCGAAGACCCAGGTTCGATTCCCCACCTGAGTATAATGTGTGAAGCCCATTTCTGGTGTACCCTGTCGTGATGTCACTCACTCACTCTCTTGCTTGTCTTACATCACTTTGAGCTTTCCCAACACATCCAACTGACACACTAGAATGCTGTTTAACAATGTGTTCAACCCATCTCGCTTGTTCCTATATTTCTGAATAATGATATGAAAAAATATGCGTCCCCACATTAAGTGACATAAGTTGAATGCTTGTATAAATTTTATGACAGACTATTAAAAATACAGAAACACTTTGTGCATAGTCAATCAACTTCAAATAAGAAAATATCTATTTTCTCTGCTTCAGTTCATCTCCAAACATCAAAATGAGATGTAACCTGCACAAACATCAAAACAATTTAATTTGCTTTTTAATGGCCAATTTTGCAAAATATCACAAAATAATTGTATACAATGTACATGCATTTTCAAAGTGATTCAGTATCATTGTCCATAAACATCCAGGTCAGAATTTGTGATGGTTGGTTCGGTTGTTGTTTAATGCCGCACTCAGCAATATTCCCGCTATATGGCAGCAATCTGTAAATAATCGAATCTGGACCAGACAATCCAGTGGTCAACAGCATGAGCATCAATCTATGCAGTTAGGGACATAAGTCGCCTCTTACAATTGCAGATAAATTCTAACCCGGATCTTCATGGGGTGTGTTTAGTAGCCTAGGTTTGTTGCAAGAGGCAAATTAATGAGCTGGTGATCTGGCTCTCTGATAAGGTGGATGCATGAAAGTGGATTTCAAGAAGGCAGTTCGATGATACTCAGCATGTGATCTGGTCCAGACTTGATAAATTACATATTTCCATATAGCTGGAATACTGCTGAGAGTGACATTCTAAAACAATGTTTCATGTACACATTCAACTATCTCTGTATTCTTGCATGCCAAGGGGCGGTGGGCTAGCCTAATGGTTAAAGCATTGGCTCGTCACGCCGAAGACCCGGGTTCGAATCCCCACATGGGTACAATGTGTGAAGCCCTTTTCTGGTGTCCCCTGCCGTGATGTTGCTGGAATATTGCTAAAAGCGGTGTAAAACCAAACTCAGTCAGTCAGTCTTGCATGCCAAACTTAGGTCAACATATGACCTGAGAAGAAGGTAGTATATATGTATTTATTTCAGTAACAAGAATATCCATGACAATTCAGCCCTGTAACACTGTTTGGAGTCCACTCCTTCAGTTCGGTAACCTCTGGATACGAGGGGATATAAAAAAGTTCTAATTATTGCCATGAATTTATTGAGAAATTATGAAAATTTGAAGGTAACATCAGTGATTCTTATCTAGTTAATGGACCAAAAACTATTTACATCACTTAATTCAATCTTGTGCAAGTTGACCCAAAACATGAGTAACCCCATGTATGGAGAAAATGGAGGCACGCAGCGTTATCAAGTTTTTGCACTTGAAGGGTTGCACTGCCCGACACATTCACGAGGAGATGAAATCTGTTTTTGGTGCAGATATCTTATGATACTGTTGTGAGATAGAAAAGGCATTTTCAAACCGGTCATATGTGCCACACAGTTGAGCCAAGATGTGGACTCCGTTTTGACGATACCAATGAGGTCATTGAAGAGGTGGAGGGATGGTTTTCATGATATCAGGGATTCTATTCAGGCCGTCTGTGCAAGGTCAAGAAATGTTGGGAGAAATGTGTAACTCTGGAAGGTGACTATGTAGAAAAATCTTATGGACAAGAAATCGAAATAAAGTTTCTACCTTGAAAACATCTTGGTGATAATTAGAAATTTTGTATACCCCCTGTACAAAGTCGGCAGGACATATATGTCATGAAGCAGGATTATTCTTCAACTCAGAACCCATCCCACTCAAGTCTCTCGTGTAATACTTCCATGAAGGTCCATCATGTACCAAACTTCTTTTGTCGAAGTGTGGCTGGAAGGGTGTCTGTGACTGCAACTGGGGTCCGTTCAACGGCAACCATCCAGTCCTCTGTGAGAGGCTCCAGGTATAAGATGTACTGCAAAAACACATTCACATCATTATATCAAAAACTTCCACATCCTTCATGCATTCCTACAGACTGGTTGAAAATAATATACCAGTATAAGGAAGCAGATACATATTTTTATACAGTAGTAGTAGCGGTGGGGTAGCCTAGTGGTTAAAGTGTACACTCGTCATGCCAAAGACCCGGGTTCGATTCCACACATGGGTACAATGTGTGAAGCCCATTTCTGGTGTCCCCTGCTGTGATATTGTTGGAATATTGCTTTAAGCGGCATAAAATAAACTCACTCACTATAGAGTAGTAGGGTGGCCTAATGGTTGAAGCATTTGCTTGCCCCCACTGAAAGCCCTGGTTCAAATCCCCTGGTTGTCCCTGGTTGTGACATGGAAATATTTTTAGAAGCAATACTCATTCAACAAATAACTGCCCATGTACAGGGACACTTACGACAGACTATTTACTTTAGGAATCAACTTGCATTTGGTACTTCATCTTGACTAACATTTGGGGATATTTTACAACATTTTTAGTTGGTAAGGGAAATGAACAGCACAAAAATTGTATGGAATTTGTGATAGGGATCTTTTTCTGACCCAGAATTCCATCACTGCCTGTCAAAGCCTCCCATCAGAGGCGACACAGCGAGTATGAACATCAAAAATACCATGCACAAGTTGGTGCATCCTTCATTTTGCTGAGTGCGATGTTGAACAACAAAGAAACAAAACTTGATAGATACATAGTTATCTTTGAGGTGAGATGTGCCAGTGTGCGAAATAGCCACTAGCCTACTAGCACGAGGCTAGTAAAAATCCAATCGGGCCAGTAAATCTCCACTGTCACTGGCCCGACTGGCTAGCGAAGTTTCATGGGATCATTTTGTAAATATATCACTCTCTCTTACTTGTTAAGTTATAATACAATTTTAAATCATGTAAAATTATGGCCTGATAAAAATGTTCATCATATTAGCAGCTTAATGATGAAACCCATGTCATGCCGACAATATCTTATTCTCATCTATTTTTGTAATCTTTTACTTAGTTTCTACATTCAAATTTCGGGCTAGTGAATTATCTAGTGGGCTCGTAACTCTCAGGCATAGCTAGCCCGACTGGTCAGCAAAATTTGGAAACTATTTTGCACACTGGACTGTGCACTGATATTTATTTGTACTTTTCGCTGAAAAATAAAAAAATCTACAAAGAGAGGTTGAGTGAGGTATGTTTAATGTCAGACGACAAAACTGCAGCTATGTTACAGAGGTTAATAAGTTTAAGTTCGGGACTAGACAAAGCAGTTACTGAGGTCTCCATCTCCAGTATAATCAGCTGCAATCAGTAAATGCCATTCCAAACTGACTATACCTTAATCAATTGAAGGCGTTTTCTCCTGGGGTACTGACCATGAGATACCCAAATTAAACAGCCTACAATGCATATCATGACTAAAGCAATAACTTTACTCAAAAGTATAAAAGCCTGAAAGAATGCATGCATAGTGAGAAAGACATGCGAACATAACCACTTGCAGTATAGACTGAACACCAGTCTTACACAGAGTGAGGTGAGGTGAGGTGAGGTGAGATTGGGTTTAACATCGTACATGAGAATATTTCGCTCATATGACGATGTGCATGCGTATGTATGTGAATGTGCGGCTGCTTGTACTAGCCCAGACTGAAGCTGGTTTTATAGTGCTAGCCCACTGAGATACCATGCCGCAGTGAAGCATGAATACCCCACTCAGACACATTATACTGACTCTGAGTCGACCAGTCCTTGTTGTACCCATTAATGCCGAGCGCCAGGCAGGGACCAACAAGTACCATATTTTAATGTCTTTTGGGTATGACGCAGTTGGGGATCGAACCCACGACCTTCTGCTCTCCGGGCGGATGCTCTAACCACTACACCACGGAGGCGGTCCTTACACAGAGTGAGTGAGGGAGGTCAATGAGAACACATGGAGGATGCAGCCTTACCTTGTATTTTGAGCTGTAGGAGAAAGCTGTGTCGGTTGTGTCTATATGCTTGCTTTTATGTCTTTTTATCTTCTTACCAGGTACGACCATTGGCTGCAAACAGGTTACCGAAGAATTAGACTACTTGGTAGCTGTCAGTGCCTACAATATCTCCAAGTCTCGGATTCATACCCACAAATATAGATTCTGTACCACCTTCGCGACCCTACCTACAGTAGAGCTGTGCATCGTGGCCTAAGTGGCAAGACGATATATCCCGATACCAGTTTAATGAGACAAGTACTGGCAAGGAACCTGTGAGACAATTATCATCACATTACAATGGTGGCGATACAATACGTATCCCGATACTTTACAATTTCTAAAACAGAACAGATATGATAGATAAATGACTGAAACTTTATTTGTTGTACAGCAGAACTTGTGTTATATTTGCTCACGCTTAAAAAGCTGTTGATCTAATAAAATTTCAGCATTTAATGCTTAAGAAAGTAGAATCAAACATATTCAGTATACCTTGATCTAATATGAATAAATTTTGAAACTGAAATATATTTCAATTACTGGAAGACAAGTATTCTACAAATGTTCACACTCTTTGACTTATACACCAACTCCTTTGTTCATGCAACAAAGATAACAGATACAAACAAACTCCTATAATTCAGAAGGATTTCAAAGAGACTCCCTTTCTATTCCTAAAGCAATACTCCTTACAACTTTCAGCTGAACACAATTTGAAAGAATAAACCCTTAAACTGTACAAACCTTCAAATACTGGATACAGTAATAAAACCCTTCCACCATAATGTGCTCAGTCGCTTACATTCGGTTTAAGTTTTCTAAAGTTTTTAGTTTTCTCAGTAAGTTATGTGAGTATATAGGCATATATCGTCTCTTGTGGCAATACATCGATGTATCAGGGATCCTCGTGATATACTGGACAAAATAGGTTAGGGATGTTGGTATTTTTATGATTGATATTTTATCAGTGTGACAATGAATAAATAGATCATTATTCATAATTTCAAAATTTACATATATCCCTAACTATTTTTGGCCAGTATATAAATACAGTCAAATCCCGATGAGTCGAATGCCGGTGTCTCGAATATTATGCATAACTCGAAGTGCCTGTCGGTCCCGACCATTCCCTGTTATAGTTGTGATCATTTGAATACCGGTTACACGAATTCGTCTCATAAATATACACGATGACTCGAAAAGGAAAGTTGGTCCCATAAGATTCAAACAACAGCAATCTTGTATACATAAGCCGAAGTCAGTCAATGAGAAGTTGATTGGTGTAGCAACCTGATCCAATTAACAAACCAGCACGGCTCACACCTTTCCGCCATTGACGGGTGAGTTGAAAAGGCAGATTAGTGATTTTACGGGAAATCACTGTCTGTGCTAATCAGACTGGAACTGATAAGTGATATGGTAATCATTAGATAAACAAATGCTTAGGCGGAGGAATTAGGACTGGATCATCTTTTTTTCTACCCTCATAGACATACCTATGTCTCGAATACATGGATAAGTCGAATTTATTACTTGGTCCCCAGCGATTCGACTCATCGGGATTTGACTGTATCCTGATACACCACTAAAGTACCGTGACTTGCTTTGTCTTAGCTTGTGATCCTGAGAGTCTACATGAGAGTTTTCACCTTGGATTTATCCAGAATGCAGAAGACTTCTTCATCATGAAAGAAGTAATGTTGGGGGTTACGCGGGTCTGGGGAGATCTGGGTGATGATGCTCTTCCTGTTCCTCCAGTGACCTGGCAGGCTCTGACTGTGACTCCGACACCACTTGGTCAGCTCCGACTTGTTCACATTGTATTCCAAGATGGAGTTGTCGCAGTGCACAACACAAAGTTGTTTCGACCGGCAGAGAAGGTCATCGCACACGGCTGGGTCTTTTGACTTGGTAAGTTATATAACTGGAACAGTGAGTAAGTGAGTGAGAGAGTGGTAGCATGGGGAGTGAGTGAGTGAGTGAGTGACAGAGTGGTAGGGTGGTAGAGTGAGTGGTAGGGTGGGCGTGTGAGTGAGTGAGTGTGTGAGTGGGTGAGAGAGGTTTAATGCAGCTTTTGAACAATCTTAAAGGTATATCATCAGTGTATGAAATAAGCCAGAAAACCAGGCAGACTGGATTTAACCAAACCAGACACCAAGATATGGTGAATTTACTCAGATGTATGGGACATCTAAAAAAATTTACCAGACCATCGGTAAAAGGCTTGCTGTAAATTTAGACCATCCGTCAGAAATCTAGCCCGTCTCGGGAAGTCAGACGTGCCTTATTTCATACACTGATATGACGCTGGGTCAGCTCAATCAAGACAAAAAAACCTCTCTGATGCTTTTGCTTTGAAATCTATTTTCAACTAGGACATAAACTACAAACTTAAACAGTTCAAAGAGTGTGAAAAACAAACGTTAATCAACATGTTTACTAAAAGCAAACAAAAATATGGATGAGGAAATGTATTTTCATACATTTTGACCAAATATGAGTGACTTTAGTTTTATGCTGCTTTTAGCAATATTCCTGTCACATCACGGCGGGGGACACCAGAAATGGGCTTCACACATTGTACCCACGTGGGGAATCAAACCCAGGTCTTTGACGTGACGAGTGAACACTTTAACCACTAGGCTTCCCTAGTGATGGAGTAATGGCTATAAATAACTCATTCAATATGGTGGAAAGGTGGCCATATTGTTAATCAGATCCCAGTCATCATGAACAAATTCTGGTGTCATCTTCTATGGGAATAAGTATGTGAAGTTCCAGCTTCATCACTCGTGTTTTGTGAAGACGTCTACAGGCAAGTAATACCACTGATGCCGGGTAGGCAGTAAATGACATTCAGGTGAGCTGGTTGGACAATATTCCAAATATGGCCACTCAGTTGGTAGTTCATATACCTGGCTGTTCTGGGGTTGACTGGAACCAGGGGTATCCAGTGTAGGATCAAACTGGGATCCAAGCTCTGATCAAACAAACACTTACCCACTGAACCACCTGTGTCCCATCAGTTGTAGGCTGATTGTGTGACTTCATCACACCCTGTTACTCATGACTGCGGAACTCTTTCACAATATACAAACAATCCTGGCCACTACTGCACAAAGCTATCTGACGCTAAGGTGATCGTAACTCTCATACGTTAACAAAGGCTTACGACAGTCATAGCACTAAGAGTGCTTTGTACAATCGAGCCCTCAACTCCTTTCCACAGTCCCACTGCAATAAGTATGACATCGCAACTATTGCAGTGCTATGATCAGTATGTCTACAGGAGCCATTTTGTCCATCCCATCCCAGAGATGCCAAGTGTTGCAAATAGTAGTTTCAAGGATCAAAATTAGAAGTTTGACCATAAAATTAGTTGTCAACTGTACTTAAAATCATGATGGATTCTGAGAAAGACAACATGACATTAATCAAGAGTGAAGCTTTAATTTCACATACCTCCCATAGCAGATTTACAAATTATCAGCATTACATTTCTTCTTGTCGTCTCATTTTGGTGAAAATGTATTTAATCGATGAAGAGTCTATATATCAAAATTTTAATGAATTTTTATCACATTTCGTAGAATTTCTAGTGCAATCATATTGGCGTAGTTTTAGGCAAAAATTTGTAGCAACTACGATAAAATCGTAGACGTTGTCATCTCTGTGATCCCCTGTAGTGATCCTCACCTGTTTGCTGGTAATGTTGTAGACTCGTACCCTCTTCTTGTGGTCGGCCACGGCAACGTGATCCCCATCCGCGGACACACTGAGAAGATGTATGGAGTCCACATCTGAAAACATAATTAACTTCATAAGAGGCTAACTCCAGTTCTAAGAGAGATATTAGTGCTAAGATGATTGTAAAGCCCTTACTTTTACACAGGCTTACGATCATCATAACTCTAGAAGATCTGGCCCTAATACTTTATTTTAGGTGTCATGGGATTTTGGCTCATTTTGTGGTCAAATCATAAATTTATGTTTTGGTAAATAGGTGTAAATAAACAAACAATTTTGAGTCGTGTAATTTTAATTCTGTAATGTATCATTGCTCATAATATGTAACCATTATATGAAATTATTGATGTTTTAAACATGTTTGTTATAATCAATGTTAATCACTATTGGTAATTAGTGTTCTGAACCATAACTGCAGTTATTATCACATCATACTCAACGTCAAACCAATGCCATACATCTAAATGGTGACCGGACAAAATCCACCTGGACAAAATCCACCTGGACAAAATCCACCCGGACAAAATCCACCCCAAAATTGCCACCCCACAAAATCCACCTCTTCTTAACAAAGAAATGGACTAAATCCACCCTTCTCAAATTGCTATTGTTAAAAGTTTTAGTGTGTCCTGATCTTTGATCAAGTTGTTTTGCTCAAGCATTGCAAGCATTGTTTTGATAGTATTTACGTTTTCCTAATTGGCTGTTGTTCCTAGATGTTCAAACATTAAAGGTTTCTCCATTTGTCACATTTTGATCACTACTTAATCCTCTTTCATGTTTCATTAAGCAGTCTCACACTTTGATCATTACGTAATCCCCTTAAAGAATTAAGATGTTTTTGCAAGCCTGATTTGAGCCCTTTATACTCATGTTTTGATAGAACATACTTTTCAATGAGTTTGAGAAGAAAGAGAGCAAGTCAACAATTAGGTGGGAGTGTTCCCAACGGAAATTGTCTTGCTGTCTTGTTTGCGTTGTTGAAATTTGGCAAGATGTTTAGTCATAGATATGTCTGAAAGTGTGAAAATATATGCTGTTGTCATATTTATATATGTATTAATGCATGAATGATTAATAAATGTGAAATGTGAAAATGTGCAATTGTCATATTTATATATGCAAAAATGAGCTTACATATGTATTTTGGGTTTTTATGTTATCGATTATGAATGACTGATATGAATAAAATTCATTTCTGTGACTAAACATGTCATTATTTTTCTTTTTCTTAGGGTGGAATTTATTAGGGGTGGATTTTGTCCTAGGTTGCAATTTTGGGGTGGATTTTGTCCGGGTGGATTTTGTCCAATTGGATTTTGTCCTGGATTCCATATAAATATATGTATCTACATTTTCAAGCTCCAGTGCCCAAATATGCTACCTTAACTTGTAAAGGTAACAGTGTATCCGTAAGTTAGTGAGGTGGTTTTATGTCGCTTTTAGCAAATATTCCAGCAATATAACGACACAGAACGCCAGAAATAGGCTCCACGCATTGTATCCAGGTAAGGAACCAAAACTAATTCTTCAGCATGAAAGAATGCTTCAACAACAAGGCTATCCCACCCCCTTCCAACAGTTATGAGTTAACCATTTCCTTAAAGGTCACATGCAACGTAAAACACAACTTTGCAGATTCTGATACCTTTCGGTATGGACTTACCGAAACAAATCGTCAAAAATGCAAATTAAACTTATATAGTTGAAAAATAATGCGATGAAAAAACCCGCGACGAAATCGGAGTTCAAACGATTCACTAATTCCCCCCCGACTTTTCGGGGGAAAACTTGTTTCAACAGCTGGGCTGCGCTCCATAGCACGCGCGCAGTGAAATAGGTTCGCGCAGCTTGGAAGCGGGTTGTCTGGTGAATACTCGGTGAAGGCTTTGGTGTGAGCTATTTTTCTAATGTTTTGTTAATATCTCACAGTGCGAGCTTTTTATATGTGAGGTGAGGTGAGGTGAGGTGAAATTGGGTTTAACGTCGTGCTTGAGAATATTTCGCTCATATGATGACGTGAATGCGTGTCTATGTGTAAGTGCGGCTGCTTGTACTAGCCCAGACTGAGCTGGTTTTATAGTGCTAGCCCACTGTGATACCATGCCGCAGTGAAGCATGAATACCCCACTCAGACACATTATACTGACTCCGAGCCGACCAGTCCTTGTTGTACCCATTAATGCCGAGCGCCAGGCAGGGACCAACAAGTACCATATTTTAACGTCTTTTTGGTATGACGCAGTTGGGGATCGAACCCGCGACCTTCCGCTCTCCGGGCGGGCGCTCTAACCACTACACCACGGAGGCGGTCCTTTTTATATGTTATGACAGTAAATTAACTGTTTATATAATTTCATTTGTCTATTTCACCACACGTTCTTCTTACCGAGTCACTTTCTCAGTTCGATACTTAAAAGCAATGTCATTATTTAGCGTTGACGGAATTTCTAACTGTGATATAGATATGTCGTTGTCACAGACAAAACTCAATGTCTTGTTTTATTGACATTATAGTGTGTCTGCCTGCCTGTCTGCTAATGACAATATTCAATACACAGCTGCTATCGCTGACCACATGCAATTTAAACTTAACACCAATCAGGCTATACACCATAAACAAAATGCATTGATTTATGGCCCGAGTTCGGTCTCTGTCACATTATGTAATTACGCAGACAGGCAGGTGTGATACTTGAACACATGACATGTTATGATGTCGGTTGATTGCAAAATGTTATACACAAAAAATGAGCACGTATTTACAAAACCCAACATCTCTATATATACACACACAATGAGCCGTGAGAGCATCTGCAAATGAACCAGCCATTACACTTGAGTGCACACCCACTCGCTCTGACTGGGTTCGGTATCCCGGCTGCTTCGTTTCTTGGGAAGTAAACCCAAGTACACAATATTGCACTTTTGATTTGCGATTGTACGCTTATAATTTTGTTTATATGTTTTTTCATAACCAGCAATGTATATTATATGTCATGAATAAGTGATAATTGTGTTTTAACTATGTTTGATTTTTTTGTTGCATGTGACCTTTAAGTACGCTATACACTTGCTCTTCCTCCTTTGTTCAGTTACCAGTATGTTTTTAGTAATTTTTAAGCATGTTTCATCAGACTATTAAACACCCCTGCTTGAAATTAAACATAATATATTTGGAAAATAAACCATTGATCGTCTAAAAATAAATCAAATATGCCTAAACAACTAAAGGCACTAAGTCACTTGACTGACATTAGTTTAATATCACATGAAGAAACAGTTTTAGGGTTCTGCAGAGAGAATTGGACACACAGGCTGACAGACATACAGACTGCCTGGGTCACAGACAAAAAGTCGGTCAAACCAGTGGCCGATATCATGAATGTCACAACAGCCCACAGCAAACAACACAAATGGAAGTCAACCTGGAGCTTGTCTGGATCCCCTTATCAAATAATTAGCAATTAAACATGTCAGATATTTTAAACGTGAACCAAATTGCAGAAAACTGAGAGGCAGCTAAACTCAAACACAAGAAGAGACCCACAATTTAATGTACAACTGTTAAGCAAACGTTATTTTTTACCCTCCTCCATAAATTCCTCGAGCTGCGCTCGTATTGCCCTCCCTACAACAGAGATCGACTCAGACAGGACACAAGACAATTGTCTCTTGTTGTGTTGCAAATTTACCTGCCGTCAACACCTGCACAGGTGTGCACTCTGACCCACAGTCACATTGGCAGACACCTTGTCTGTTGACATTAACGTTCAAATGTAAAGTTGTTGCACACAGAAGCTGTCAACTAGAGATGCAAGACAACTATTAACACAGTTAGAGAATGAACACACTGACCCTGACACTCCCCACAACACAACAGATCTGTGCACTTTAACTGACCCATATCCTCAATAGCATTGTATCCTAAGTTTTCATGTCCTTCTGAACAGAATTTCTTATAGTATATAAAAACAGCTTCCAGATTGGCAAACACTGACACTGGAAACAAAGCAGTTAACAATGTTGACTTTTTTTTTACAATCATTAAAAAATAAAATGTCTTTTGTTGTCATCAGTAGACTAGTAGCATCCCTGAAATAAGTGATGTGCATGAAATGAATGAGTGAGTTTAGTTTTACGCCGCACTCAGCAATATTACAGCTATATGGCGGCGGTCTGTAAATAATCGAGTCTGGACCAGACAAACAAGTGATCAACAGCATGAGCATCGATTTACGCAATTGGGATACGATGACATGTGTCAACCCAGTTAGCGAGCCTGACCACCCGATCCCGTTAGTCGCCTCTAACAACAAGAATGGGTTGCTGAAAATCAATTCTAACCCGGGATTTTCACTGGTCTGTATAAAATGACATCAAATATGTCACAAAGGAAATCAAGAGGAACCTCAAGTGTCCTGATTTCAGGGCTCCAGAGTAGGGGATGATATTCGAATAGGGGTGAATGTTTTATACAAAGGTATGCTGTAAGATGATGGTGATGATGTGATACGTTACCTGAAACAAGGAACATATGTCAACAACGGTTTACATTATTGACTCAACACCAGGCTGAGTGGCTTTAGGTTGAACACTTCAGTGCAGGAGACTCAATCATGACACGTAGTTACAGTTGGGAGTTATCTCCCCTGCTCGATAATATATTAGATGGTTTGACTGTGTCTCTTCATTTGGACAACACGCGGACCTGTTTGTCATCAATCTAAAGTAAATGCAAATATCCTCTATTTGCACATCATGAGAACTAAAGTACATGTAGCAGTTATGCATACGTTTCATATAACTCTTGTGTAAAGGTTTATAATATTGTGTACTACGCTAAACGTGTCTATGTCTTGTGCGAACTATTCTTCAAACAAACAAAATAAATAAATAAAATAAACAAAAGAAAAAGAAAATTTATTGCCTATATCCTTGTAAATGATATATTGACCAAGGCTAATTGTAGATAATAAAAATAGTTTCGTTAATAGGTATCTGAACAATATTCAAAATATACATTATAACACTGAAAGTGTAAGCAGTGGGA